AAAAGATGAGGAGATTTCATTCGGGGCCCAGTGTCAATGGTAGATGGAACAACCTCTTAGTAACTGTTGTTAGAAATATCTTGTCCTTGTGTCTGATGGAAGCGTAGCTTCATAGTATTAAGATATTTACACTATCTTTCAAATCATTGAACTATCTTCAAACAAGTCGGCCTTCTATGGTGTAGTGGTTGTAGCGCTTGCTCTATGATCGGGTGGTTCTGGGTTCGATTCCCGACCAGGTGACCCGAGTTTGATGGTCTCAAACAACAGTTACCTGGGGCTGGCTTGATTAGGGATGGAAGGGGATGGGACTCTAGGGATGGTAAAGTGCAGGATTATCCCTCATGGGATACTCGAAGTGTAAAAAATAAAAAAATAATAATTCATTTGTTTTTATGCAATTTCATGAAGCAAAAAGAAGAGGGCCAGGTTATGGTTGCTCTGAAATAACCAGAACAATCTTGTCGCAACTTTCAGGCGTTGTAGTTACTTTTGTTTTTCCCCCATATCATCTGAAATAAGTTTTTCCAAAAACCAAGAAATTTCACTCAAATCTAAAAATTTTCACTCTGCACCGAACAAACTTTTGATAAATTTCACAATCTTACTCGGTTTTTTTTTCAGTATGAATATGTATCCATTTTTCTTTTTGCCTCAGGAAATGAAAGGTTCAGAAGAAGAATTTGTTGTGACCCCTGAGCATCTGCAAAAAACTTATTCTGGAGTCAGGGCAGGAAGGAAAGGAGATGCTACTTTCGCTAAAAACTTGGCTTCGGCGGTTTTCAGTGACGAAGTTTTAATGAGATCTAGTTGGTCAGGAAATGCGGCTCAAGGAGGAAAGAAAAAAGTCAAGAAACAGGAAGAGTCAGCTCGCCCTGCCTTATCATCTGTCGGCAAAAATGTCCTAGAAGGTTAGTTGTTTACTGTGCACAAAAATATTTTCAAGAGTTTTTTAACAAAAGAGAGGAAAGAAAAAAATAATATTTTCTGCTTTTTTTTTGGTCTTTGTTTCTTCGAAGAAAAAGGCATTCGAACCAATTGGACCGCATTTAGCAAGGAGGAGCCAGCGCGATTACAGTGTTTTCAAAATCGTGCAACTTCTTCTTTCCTTTTGAAAATACTCAATACCTATGTGTGCAGTATTAAAATTTACACAATTATTTTCCTTTAAAATTAACAATATTTTTGGTGAGAGGCAAAAACTATTTTCTTCCTTGAGAAATTTTGTGGATAACTATGTAAAAGCAACATTTTTACGACACTAGTCATTGCGCTGGTTCCATTTGTAACGCAATCCAATTCAAGCGACCTTTCCCCACTGCTGCCAGGTGAAAAGGCGGAGACACCTGAGATTAAGAAGCATCAAATCTCGGGCAAAACGTTGTCAGATGGAAAATGCTAGAGAATGTTTAAAAAATGCCAGAATTTTCCCTTCAATAAGTGGGAAGCATTGTGATGAAAAAAAGCCGAAGTTATCTGAAAAATGCTGGAGATGAAGAAAACGCCTGAGATCAAGGAATGGCAGTACTGGCATTCCCTGTAAAATACCCTATGTAAGAAAGATATATTTTGGCCTTGGTTCCTAATTACTGTCCGTAGCTTATGTTTACTGCAAAGAATTTTTTATCTTTTTCTTTATTGAGGTAATAATGCATTTTTTGCCAAATTAAAAAGACTGAGAGTCTACCAGGAGACATATCTAAATTGGCAAGAAAAACAAAATCCAATGTCAGCTTCGCAAAACCTTATGAAGTTGCCAAACTTACATTGTATCAAATCATTCAGAAAATCTCTTCCTTAAAAGCAATTTGTGATTTATTTGTGGGATTGTTTCTAATTTTTTCCGGCCCTAGATTTGCAATTTTCTTGCTGCATAATAAATTACGAAATTGTGACTGATTTTTCTACTAACCATTCTGGTCTGTTTCCAGCTTTGTTCGTGGAAAGAATTAAAAAGGAAGTCCCCCCGCCAAGTGAAGGGGAAATACAAGTTCGGACAGAAATAATCCCCGATGCTGTACGGCACAAGATAAAGTATTTGCGGAGCAAATATCTCCAAGCAGAGGACGAGGACAAGACACAAGGACCAGTAAAAGTAGAGGAGATCACGCCTTAGTGATGAGTAGCTTTTGCCTTTATACATACCGTCAGTTGGTCTAACATGAGCCGGTTTTTGACTTTGAGGCTTTGCATTTTTGC